AGGTGGGTGTGCCACGGGCAGGTGGGTGTGCCGCGGGCAGGTGGGTGTGCCACGGGCAGGTGGGTGTGCCGCGGGCAGGTGGGTGTGCCACGGGCAGGTGGGTGTGCCGCGGGCAGGTGGGCGTGCCGCGGGCAGGTGGGTGTGCCGCGGGCAGGTGGGTGTGCCATGGGAAGGTGGGTGTGCCACGGGAAGGTGGGTGTGCCACGGGCAGGTGGGCGTGCCACGGGCGCGTGTCCCCAGCCCCGGGTCGCCCACGGCACCGTGGGGACGAGCCCACCGTCCACCACCCCGGGGGCTCCGACGGACGGAGGATCCGGGGCCGATCCCGCCCCTCACTCGCCCCCCACCCCGTGCCACGCTCAGCCGCGCTGCCCCCCTCGCTGTGCCACCGCCTGCCACCCCCCTGCACTGCCCCCGGGGGCTTCGCGGGCCCCCCCTGTGACCGTGTCCCCGTTTCCTCTCTCCGCTGCCGCTGCCCGGACCCTCCGCAGCCAAGCGCAAAATGTGGAAATTAAAAAGCTTTGGTAGTTTAAGAAATATTTATAAAACAGGTAACGTGGCGCCCGCGGTGCCTCCCCCGCATGTGGCTGTGCCCCCCACCCCCCCTTTGCCTGCCGCCAGCGCATCCCCCGCACCCACACGGGGGGTCCCGGGAGCGGGGGGGGGGTGGGCACCACCGGGGGTGGGCACCACCGGGGAGGGGGGGTCGGCCGGGGCGGAATTTGGGCGCAGGGGAGGGCGTGGGGGGCCGGAGCGGGGGGCGCCGGGGCAGCCCCGGTGCCCCTCGGGTGAGAGACCCCCCCTCCCAGCGCCCCCCCCGGGGGGTCTCTGGTCCCGCAGAGGAGGAGAACTTCGAGTTCCTGATCGTGTCGAGCACGGGGCAGACGTGGCACTTCGAGGCCGGCAGCTTCGAGGAGCGCGACGCGTGGGTGCAGGCCATCGAGAGCCAGATCCTGGCCAGCCTGCAGTGCTGCGAGAGCAGCAAGAACAAGGTGGGCCCGCCCGGGGGGGGCTGGGGGGGGCCTGGTGTCACCCACCCCCCCCGCGTCACCTGCTGAGCCCCCCGTCCCCCCCAGGCGCGCGTGGACTCCCAGAGCGAGGCCGTGGCCATCCAGGCCGTCCGCAACGCCCGCGGGAACTCGCTCTGCGTCGACTGCGGGGCACCCAGTGAGTGCGGGGGGCTGGGGGGGCACGGGGGGCACGGGGGGACACGGGGCAGGGGGAACGTCCTGGAGCCGTGGGTGACCCGGGGACGGGGGCCCTGCAGTGTCCCGAGCCCGGGGGGTGGTGTCACGTCGTGCCACGGGGGGGACGTCGTGTCGCACGTGGCACCGCGGGGCCCG